TCTTTTATTGTCAATTAATCAAAATATTTAATAATTTATTAAATAGGCCTTTGTTTATTAAGTTGCAACGTGTCAAATTATGCATGCAATATTTGTTTTCTACCTTTTTAATCCTGCACTGCTACGCCACTGTGATTGAAACTGATGACATTCCTTTGATTCTTGAACTGCTATTCCATTGGAATTGATATTGATGATATTTCTGGTTTAATACTCTGCTATGCTGGATTGCCGATCTTATTTTGAAATTCTTATCTTGATTCCTTGTTCCGCTCCAATCTGGACACTTTACACTAAATTTTTAATTCACTTGACTGTTTATTTAAAAATTTGAATTTATTCGCGGCACTTTCGCTGTTACTTTACTATTTCTTTCGTTGACACTACTGGTACTCTTCTTCTTTGTTTTCATGGGCTATTCAATCTGACAACTTTGACATCACCTTTCTTTTCTTCCCCAATTTCTCTTGGGTCTGTTACTATCAATAAATTTTTATATCTTCAATTGTTTTTCAGGAACGAGCAAGCTGACGTTTACTGTTTCGTGATCTGATACCTACTAAACAAATTTGACGTTTTTCCTTTTATATATGGACCTAAATTCGCCTGTCATCTTGGCAACTGTCATTGTCAAATTTTCAAAAACTTTGGAGTCGGATTATGTAAATATGCGTTGAAATTACTTTGAAATACTAAAATTTTCATTTTCCTTGTTCCCTGAACTTTCTTTTGATATGCTATATGACTGGATTTCTATGATTTACAACTTTCTTATACTATTATCTAATTTTCCTACATTACTACATAAATTCTTATAATGTCTCTATTCTAAGCATGTCCTTTCGAAATTTATACTCTAATGAACACTTCTTCACAATCTGTTATACTCTCACTAATTTTTTTAATACTGTATATTGTATTTTTTTTAAGGTACGATCATTCCGTTATAGTTTTTGAAAAAGTTCACAATACAAGTCTTTTACCTTGCCTGGTATCTGTTGGTTTAGTCTTTGGACTCCAGTAAAACACCTGATATTTAAATGTCCCAGTTAAAACACTCTACACTCTTTTAATTTTCGTTTTTGTTCATGACTGGTCATTGCAAATGGGTTTTTGTTCAAAGTTTTTTTAAATTTTGGATATTAGACCAGTTGTATGTATGGCAATTTCCTCAGGTATGATCACCTTTTTGTTTTATATTATATTTTACATTCATTTTTAACTAATAATGAAATTTTATTAGATCATCATCGTTTTTCGATACTTGTCAATTATAACTTTATTTCAAATTTATTCTTTATGCTACTGAATTATTATTTAATTATGCTCGTTATCATTTGCATCTTATCCACTATGTTTCATCACAAGTTATTTAATATTTTAAACTTTATTAATAATGTTATTTTAATAAAATTTCATTGAAAGTTTGGTACCATGTTAACATTTTGTCTTAATCTTTTTAATTCTATAACTATCAATTATTATTTATTAATTGAATCTGAATTTCTTTATTAAAAGTTAGTTATTTAATTTTAAAATCTTCCAATCCAATAAAGTTTTTCTATTAATAGGTAATTTAACACCTCATGTCATTCCAGTTTCAGTTGTATTGTTGGTTGCATAATTTGTGCATATTTCAATATATATACAGGGTGATTCAGAACTTATCCAAAAAAATTTGGGAATAGATGCGGCATGAGAAATGGAGTCAATATCGTAAAAAAATTTGTGTAAAATCCTTATAGTTTCCGAGAAAAAAAATTATTGAAGTTATAGTACATTCAACGACTACATAGCTGGACAACTGTAGTCTCTAGCGTCATTTGCAATGCGCGTGGAGACTCACGTGGCCTCAGCGACTCCGAATACTGAAATCGTATTTTGTAATCGTCGTTGCAACAGTATTTACCTGTTATCTGTTGGTTTACAAATTTTTTTTAGTTAGTGTCAAAAATGGTTTGCGTCTATAGCAACTCGGAGTTGATGGATATCGTTTTAATTTATGGTGAAGCATTTGTATTATGGTGAAGCAAGACAGCATTTGTGTTAGTTCGTAGAAACTGAGTAAGACGGATCCAAATATGTTTACACGTTGGTGGATTTTGAACAATTGTTGTAAAATCGGGTATGTCAAATGATTTTATTATTTAAAAACAAATTAATTGTATTAATTAATAAAGGCAAAAGCAGTTGAATTTGCCGGTCGCATTGCGCGAGGTCAGGTTTTACAGTGGACCAGTTTCAAGTGCCGCATAGTGGGAAATATTGGAAAAAATTCTCGCCACTCGCCAATTTTCATCATCTCGTCGTGATTTTTTTTTAATATTCTCGTGGTAATCTGAATTTTCATATTCCGGTGAGGTGTTCCGAAAAACCCTTTCCCACTGTGTGCCGTGCAGAAGTGTATTTTTAAATCATTTTCGAACTGCCCTTTTTGATTTTTTCTTTACAAATTTGTATTTGCAAGGGTCCCCTGTACATCCAGAATTATTTTTAAAAATAGACATTCTTATGGTAATGGAATTCATTAAAAGTGATGATGATTTTAATGCACCTGAGGTTGGAGGAGTAAAAGAGACGTCTTTTTACTATATCTTGTCTTTGTCGTTTTATAAATGCAGAATCCTCACGGGCACTCTTTATACATTGTTGATCCTCAGAAATATGTGGAACCACATCTCTCTTTAGTTTCATTTTTCCACCTATTTGTTTGAGACACACATAATTTTCCATGTCTTCTAACTAAAATATAACAAGACTTTTAAGCATCTTGTAAAAATTATTATGAAATTACCTACTTATATTAAAGTGATCTTCACAATACCTATAAGAAACTACTTCGTGATCTGGGCATGTATTTTCTAACTGCTTTAAACCATTTCAACATTCTAGAATAGTGGTACAGTTATAAAATGTTTATTTGGATTATTT